GATTTTCTGCTGGGATCTCTCTGAAGCACCAGGAACAGATCGCCCCTCCGAGCAGCACCATCGGGCCTCCGGGATCCTCTGAGGCGCCACCGGGACGGTTGATTGATTCCACCCTGAGATTAATCCAGACGTTGACTGTGTGCGTGTGTGTGTGTGTGTGTGTGTGTGTGTGTGTCAGACAGAGTTAGGAAGAGAGAAACAGGCAGCATCTGATATGCGTAGCCAGTGGGCCCGTTGATCTACAGCCGGTTTAGATCCTCGTTTCCCAGAGTTCATAGCTCTCTTCCATCAGGCCCCGGGAAGAGAGCCGAGCTTTCGCCCTTTAATCCACTGTGGTCTCATTCATCCCGACTCAGGAAAGGTACAGGCTGCCTGCGTCAGCCCCAACAGGTCCAAAGGCAACTCATTTGTATCACTTCTCTCTGATCTGCAATCTCTGTATCCATCATTCGTGACTCATTGTGCGCTTCTGCTCATTTTGCTTTTACGCTGCATGGTCAAAACTGAAAGGGAAGAATCAGCATCAGTTTCTGAAGAATATCCTGAGGCAAAAGGTTAAGTTGGGGAACGTGTATAGCCAAAGAAAGAAAACAACCACACACACACACACACGAGTCACATGGAGCCGCCTACATGCTGGCATGAATACACACAGACAACACATGAACAGTTGCGCACTTATCACTCCCACACACACACGCACACAATGTCAAACTCCTAATTGAAAGCAGTCAAGCTTCTGATTTAGTCGGATTTAAATAAGTTCCTCCAAAGCAGATGGTGATAAAAGGCTTTTCTTGGATATCACTCCACTCTGTGCAGGTGGCGGCAATTGGAGCAGGTGTGCGTGACGGAAACAGGGACAGGGGTTCGACACACAACTGCAGTTCATTGTGGCCAGCTGTGCATTTGTAGCTCTGACTGACGTTCACAGCAACGACACCTTGATCACTACAAATCTGCCTGGGTTTTATCAATAGGCTTCCATCGCTCTGATGGAAATAGTGAAACCGTGGCTTGTTGCGCAATCATACAATAATTGAGGCTCGGTTTGCATTAAGTCAAACTTCTTTCACCCATATGAAGCTATGCATATCTAAGAGGAAGGGATGACATACTAATCCAAATATAGAGGGAAATTGGCTCATGAATGAGATTTTAAGGCTTTTATTCTTATATTCTCTGAGATGAGATGGTCTGCTATCAATAACAATGCATTTAGTCACATTTGAGTAACATTGAAGCCTCTTAATTTGATTGTGTGCGGCCATTTTTAAGTCGTACTGGTGTGTGTGCATGCATTATTTTTTATATAATTGCAGTGAAATTTCCACATTTACCTTTACAAAAAAAAGAAGTTTGCATCTGGTGATTATTGAATTTTTGAGTTGAGAGTCAAGTTTTGATCCTCCCCGCTCCTACGACGACGTGCGGCCTGGCTTCACCGTGTTCAGGCTGGTTTGTTTTACGAACCACGATCGATCAATCAATCAATCAATGGACTCATCTGTCCGAACTACATTTAGAAGACTCCTGCTCCTGGTGGTCCTCCTCAATCTTCTGCTGGCCTGCTGTTCACGCTACACTCTCTCTGTTCCACTCGGGTCCAATCAGAGGTGTGACACGCCTCTGCCATGGTGGGAGTGGTACTTTAGTTCCAACAATGCTTACCGTGACCACATTTCACAATATCAGCCTTTGTTCTATTTTGTTGTCATGCACTAACAGTCAACAACTGCCACCTCAGGAAAGTAAGAGCAAAGAGGAGCAAATATATTTGAGTACTTACTTATTTATTGTGCCGTCTCATTAGCCACGGGTCTGGAAAAGAGTTATTATAAGACCGGGGGAGTCTCGGATGTGTCTATTAAGCATTTTCTGAAGTATTCAGGAAGGATTAAAAAAAAGTTTAGCTTAAACAGCATTAGAAGTTAAAAGTTATAATATAATAGGAGTTCCTAGATTTTTTTTTGGGAGACCATTTGGGAGAACAATGTGATAATATATTGTCTGGTGTTTATAAAGGAGTACAGTCAGTCTTTCACTGTTCTCTAAAGAGACAAATAACGGTGACCTCGCTACAATTCAAAGGTCAGATGAATCTCTAAAGCTCTTTGTAAGCGTTTTCTAATTAGAAGCATTAGAAGATTTAAACTTTGATGCTGGACGAGGCGTCGCTGAGGAATGACCCATTTAGGAAGGAGCAGATAACAGTAAAATGAATCCAATAAATTCAACAAATACTTGAATTTGAATACTCATACAGATGTCAATGGATCAAATATGCTTCATCAGGTGAAACTAAAAGCCACAGGTAGCGATGAAACGCTCCCCAGTGGTGGAGACTTTTCTTTGGCGTGATCAGACAGTTGTTGTATCCCACATTGGACGCTTCGCTGACAAATGACTTAACGAGCTACACAGGGAGTCCTAATTATTGTGCAATTAGAAATGTAATTATAGGTTGCTCCAACGGCTGCTTGCTAGTTGTCTGGCAGTGGGAGGGAGCGCGGAGACGGAGAGCGGGCATCACATTTCAATGCCTGCTAAACTTTCAAAATGCACACGGCCTCCGATCGGAGCCCCCGCTGCTTAAACTGCAGGACGCACTGGACCAAGTTAAGGCAATGAGGTTTGTGCTCCATCATTGGAAGCGCGCAACGGGTACAAATACGGCTTCAAATGTACCTAAAACTTGGTAACAAACAGTGTGCAGATAAAGTCGTCAAGCGGCAGGTTACGGACTATATTTGGATAAATAAAATCAGTTAGTGAACTGAGGGTCTTAAACTGCACAATTTATAAATTCAATAAAATCTAGACATAAAGAGTGCAGAAACATTGTTGCTGTTTGTGCCCAAACACGAAACGTATCGAGTTTAATTGCACTAATTTTAAGTCATTTCCTACAAGTATACAAGTATCCTACAAGGGTACATCCTGGATTGGTCGCCAGCCAATCGCAGGGCTACACAGAGACATACAACCATTCACACTCACATCCACACATCTACGGGCAATTTAAAGTCCCCAATTAACCTGATCCCCAGAGCATGTCTTTGGACTGTGGGAGGAAGCCGGAGAACCCGGAGAGAACCCACGCAGACACGGGGAGAACATGCAGACTCCACACAGAAAGGCCACTGGGCGGAATCGAACCCAGGACCTTCTTGCTGTGAGGCAACAGTGCTAACCACCACGCCACCGTGCCGCCCTTACAGTACAGTACAGTTACATAAAATAATATCAACCTTGATTCCTCAGCCAGACCAGAAACTAAGCCACATGTATTTGCAGTATATAATTAGTACAATTGATGATACAACAATAGCAAAACTAGATACATTTTAAAAAGGTATCATGCAATGTGTGACACTCTATAGGCAAAAGTTTGTTAGGGACCCGGTTTTATTAACAGTTTTTCCCCCAGTCTGTGCTTTTGTTTTTGCTTGTTTTGTTTTTCCACCTGTGTGTTCCGCCTCCGGCCCCACCCCTCTCCCACGTGCCCAGCTGGGGCTCATTCCGGGGATCACTGGTGACGAGTATAAAGGCTCCTGCTTTCAGAGGCTCGTCCTCAGTCTGTCCCAGTACCCAGGCTGGTCTCAGGTGCCGGTGATACTGAGATACAGCAGCTAAACCTGTTTATTCTTGTTTTGGTTGGAGTACCACGGAGTGCACGTAACCTGCTTTTGAGTTGGACTGTGAGTATGGTGTCGGGCCTCGGGTTTCCACACCAGACGTCGGTGGAGTTTCCCTCCCGACTCCAGTTGAGCCAGAGGAGCGCTTTCTGTTTCCCGTATTCCCCTTGTTTGTTTTTGGTGAAAAATAAAGTAATTTTGGCTGAAAATCCAAGGCTGCTGTGCGTGTGCTTTTGGGTCCACCAAATACACCCCCACCCCCCAACAAAGTTAGATCATAGAAATGATGAAGGGAATTCTGGTGTTTGATATGGACACATCCAAAGAGTGTAATGGAAATAAATAATCTTGCCACAATTATCCCATTTCTATGTTCGGCTGACCTTCGGTGCACTAACTAAAATAATCAAGGTTATGTTATCTTTTAATTTACTGTGATTAATAAGTTGGAAGGGCATCAACAGAACTCTGAATTCCACCCATAATTAGAAACCGATTAGAAAATTCTTTCTAGGAAACTTCTTGGAAATGAGTTGGAATTAACACCCGTGAAATAAAACATTAGCTTCTTTTGCCTGGTGTGTGTCAGAAACACTATAAAGCCAAACTCTGTGAACCATTCTCAGGTCCGGAGTCATTTTTTGACTAGCAGTGGGTTTTAGCATATTTTCTAGCTTGGGGGTAAAATATTTGCACATATTTGCACAGGTCATCCAAGGTCATGGCGATGATGCATACGTGTGATGCCATATTGATCCCAGAAGGAATGAATTAATCTTCCCAGCGGGAGAACAGCGTGGGGTCAGATGCACAACAGTGACCTGCAGCTGATTTGGTTCATTCCTGCAGGACAGACACAGGGTCAAATGGACAAAACAATTCACACCATAGCACTGCATTTTTTTTTTTTTTACCTTTTTGTATTCACACACTCATCACTCCATTTGCTCATCAATACACTCCTTAAACATTTTAGCGACCCTTGGTTTCCTCGTTCCTGGACCACATGAAAACAGGCTGCAAAATACGTGAACATATTGCTCCTCATTTCAGGGTCAGCGTGTGTTAGTGCCATGCTTGCAGGCAGTGTTACGCTGCAGTAATGAGGCGCTCGGGCCAATGATGACAGATGAGGGGTAAGCGGGCATGTCCTGATGACCCCATCCTGAGCTTTGGATGACCTGCCAGTCTTTACTTTAGCCTTTTACAAGTTCAGGGTTCAGGCGTTTAATACGCATTGGGCTGCCAATTGGTGTCCAGACCACAAGAGAGATCGGATGCACTTCTAATGAACAACATGCTTGTCGAATTTTATATTTTCATAAGCACACAGCTGAGATAAAGAATCATGACTCCAACACATTTGGGATCAGACTTTTAATTGGATTTAAATTCACATAAATAACATTGGTTCATAGATATTTTGTATAATATACAACTTTATATAATATATATTTCACCCTAGGAATTCTCTCATATCTACGGAAACAAAAAGCTTTGCATGAATGCAACGCTGTCTTTTTTTTGTGCTGTTCATCAAGGTCCAGATGGCGAAAGAAGGAGCGAGTCGTAAAAAATAATTCCCCAAATTCCACAAACAGAAAAAGAAAATGGAGAATCAATTGCATTGTCTCTAGGGTTTCACGCTTCACTACAAGGAGTGTGTAGCTATTGAAAAGCATTCACTGTATATATTTTACTGTATTGAATTGTGGCACAAGAAAAGAAAAAGCACTGCAAAACATCTGATAGGCATGTTAATGAACATTTTGTTGTTGTGGTTTTTAGAATATGCTTGACTTAAGATGATAAATCCCAACGTGAAGATAAGAAAAGAGGTATGAACCTGCTGCAAGGTCACGTAATCATGCAGTGACCCGGCCAAGAATCCTCGCACAGATGACTTGAGCTTGTCAGCCTCGATCACAAATCAACACATGACGTTTCGGGCCTGTTACTGACATTATTCAATGCAAACGGGTGGATATCTGGAAGTCAGGTATCATTCACCAAGCTCCCTCTCCTCATGTTGGAGCTCCTCCTGCATTGAACAATCACTAATGAAATCAACATCTCCATCAAACATTAATGACGTATCATCATACTTCCCTAAGAGAACAGCTGCGGGTTGAAAGATGCGCTGAGAGACACTAAATGCCAGATCTTTCCATAGCTTTGAGTTGTAAATCACTGGATGTTTGCTTGAACAATACGTAACCATAGTTACGAGCAAATTATTCAAATCAGTGCGTGTTTTGAAGGTCAAGCAAATCATAGCCTGTCAATACAAATGTTACGTGACATTTAACATTAAGTATACTCCAGGTGATCTGTAAAACGAGTGAAAATGGCTGCGAGCTGTCAAATCTAACATGACGATATGTAAAACATCTGCTTTCTTCTTAAAAACACAACCCTGTGCGTCCCTGCCACAATCCCGCCTGACAACACAATCTCCTACGTCTGCATTAACTATGATAAATATTTGATTGTCTGAATTGCAGCCACCACCTGAATATCAAATCAGACCGAAACTGTCACCCACACTTGACCATCAAATAACAATAAAAAGCAAACAATGGATCCAGCCACAGCTGAATAGTGATGTGTGACAACAGGAGGTCACGTCAGCTGTCGGCAAATTTGCGAGTCAGTCTCTGATGAAAAACAAGATTGAACTCAGCTACTTAAACGGAAATAGCCATTTAAATTACCCAGTGAACCGGTGTGGGATCCAACAATGTTTCATGCATTTATCACGACAAGGCCAACCTAAACGAAACCTGACATGTGTGCAGGTTGGTGTGTGTGTATGTGCATGTGTGTGTGTGTGTGTGAGTGTTAACAAATCACAGAGAAAAACACAACCATGCCATTGCGACAGACAGCAAGTTAAAGTGTTAACCCCATTATTCCCTGATTAGTTAAAACAGAGTGACTTTCTTTAATAAACAACTATTAGTTTATCATCAATTCACCATGATAAAAATCGCATGAACATCATCACATGATGATCACATCCCTTTTCTATACAAGATAAAGTTAATATATGCTATTAAAAGCCATGGGGAGGGAAAGTCACTGGGACAGTGAAAACACCATTTAAACTGTGGAGCACAGACTTCTAAATCTGTGTCTCGATTGCTCTTTTCATATTTAGTGTAAATCTAAAATCTGAAAAAAGAAAAATAATGAGTTTTTAGGTGTTTCAGTTTTCCCATTTTTGGTTCCCATTGAGAATGAAGAGAACCGATGAGTATTTTACACCAGATCATGCTGAACAAATTGTTGTAACTGTATTTTACTGCAGTACTTTATAATTGTTGATATCCAGTACCCATTATCAATTATTCAAGTATGAAAATAAGCTTTTTCTTTTAAACAAACAGCAGTAGCGCTAGTTGTCACTTCCCCTCCGCATTACATCCCCAAAACTCAATCTACTTCAATTCTCACTGAAGGGAAATATGTCAACCAAAAAGTGCACCATTAATATGTTGAGATCATAATAAAAGTAAATGCTCTTTTTTTTGTCATAAATAACACTTTTTTTCCGTCTAATATTTAATAAACCTCTTATTATACAAGGTGAGTAGTCACATGATGCAAATCTGCTCCCTGTGATCATATTGATATCCGGGAGCAACGTTAACAACCCACCGATACGAACGAGACTGCTGGATCAAATCTAGGAGGAAGATCAAGGAAAGATTTTACCAACGACCACTTACAGCCGCCGAGGCTACAACACACGAAAAGTGATGCGAGTCATGCTAGTCCACAGTTAGCATGTGTTAGCGTTAGCAAGATGGTAGCATGTAGTTCGCTCGACAAAGTGGAGTCAGAGAAGGCACATCAATGTTCAAACGAAATAAATGTTTTGTGACATACGCGTGCTTTCTTGTGGAGAGTTAGATTAGAAGAATGATCCTGCTCTCATGTCTGTGTGCTAAATATCAAGTTGTATCAGCTGTATCTGTGCAGCTAGCATTGCTAAGCTAACTCCACCGCTGGCTCTCGCTTCATATTCCTCATACAAATATGAGTCTTATCTAACCACACAGAAAACTATGTGCACTTTTAATAATTTCAAACTATCCTTTGGCAGCTAGTTTATTTTTTAATAAATAAATAAATTTAAGTTTATTTTAGCTTTGGTCAGAAATAGTTCGACTTGTAGTTTAAAGGTAATGTGACCGTAACATGGACAATTTAAAATGTACTTCTGTTTTTAGTTGCCTTTTTATTGAGCGTTTTTTTAATCTACAGCAGGCGAGATGTGATCTCCCTGTTCACAGGTTGTTACTTCAAAGTCTAAATGGCTGATGATAACATTCCCTCCTTGATCTTCTGTCGGGGGTCAGATCAGGAGGAAGATCAACAAAAAAAGAAGACCTTAAGTGGTCATAAAACCAGATATCCAGCCCGGCCCTCGGTGACTCCAGAGCCTCACACACATTTTAGGTCCACTGACGATTGTCGTCGAGGGACCTTGCTGTTATTTGCTGATGGATTTGCAAAGCGTTGGGTGGCTAAAAAACTAACAGGACTGACACTTTCCCAGACTGGTGTGTATATCTCCAACACTTCACAACAAAGTAACTGGTCCGCTCCTAATGCAGAGCACGGACCAGAACTCGGTCACAAGGTCTTTCGGCTCGCGGTCAAGCCTTTCAGTAACCAAGTCTGAGTGGACTCTGGCGGGCCGCTAGAGCCCGTTTCAGTGGCACGTCTTCATCCCGGTCAGGTACGGCGACTCCTGTCGGCACAGGCCCATCTGCTGCTGTTGCTGCTCTTGAAGATCTGAGGCCACGCCGTCGACAAAGTCGGGGACGGGCAGCCCCGAGAGTATCATGACTGACTTGTTCCAGATCATGAAGGTGGGGACGACGGGCAGCAGGAAGGATACTTCGAAGGTGTGGATGTGCTGGGAGTTCATGGCGTCATAGAAGGTCAGTGAGTTGTTGTCGTAGTCCAGCAGGACGCCGAGCCGCCTCAGCTGCAGGCTTGCCTCCACCAGCATCTCCTTGCCGTCGTGGCGCACCATAAAGTTGTTGTTGCAGCGCGAGAACACCCACGAGGACGAGTTCTTGCCACTCCATTCGTTTTTCGGGGCCGATTTGTAAGCCACGCCGATGGCGTACCTGCAGGGACGGAACATTTTGGAATGCATTAGTAATCTGGAGCCACAGTCGTCCTTAACGACTTTACTCGAACAGTCGAGCTACCTCATGCTGAGGAAACCAGACATAGGCACGGGCCCTTTGGGTCTTTCTCGCATGAAAAGGTCTACTTCAGAGCCAATTAGGGAAGGGAATATGAATAGGATAAGTGTAGACACTGTGTGCGCTGTGTGTGTGGGTGCCAGTTTTGTGTGGGTTTGCATAACAGCACTAGATTTAAACTCGGAAAAAGAGAAATGTATTTTAGTTTAATCGAGCGTCCTTGCAGGCTCATGTAACGCGGCCTTATGCCCGTTTGTTTCTTACCACGTGGACGCTCCCAGCAGCACCTCCCAGTAGTGGCCCCCGCTGTCAATGAAGACATTACCAGCTGCACCGTAGGAGCCTGTGCCGCTGAAGCGCTCCGGAGTGTGGCTCTTCTTCAGAGAGCTCTCGTCCTTCTCCATGGTGAGACAGTCGTTGGACAGACGCAGCTTCTTGTGGGCCGTCTTTGGATCCAACTTGAAGGGTTGACCTGCAAAGAAATGTTATGCTTTTAAGCGTCTTTTTTGCGGTTTGTTGGCAGCTAATGCTGATAATTATAATGGTCATGAAGCAATCATCATTATCCCTGACATCACCAACATGATCTGGGTTTTTTAGCACACTGGCCCCTCTATCTAAAGTCACAGTTCACAGGGTTTGTCCCTGAAAGGCCTCGTTATTAAAAATAAGATAGATAGATACTTTATTGATCCCTCAAGAGGGACGTTTTGGTATCACAGCAGCATGTACAGGGAAGAAAATATAATAAAAAGATACACATTATACATAATATAATAAGATAGAAATATTAAATTATTAACTTAAATTAAATAAACTAAAACTGAAACAAAAGAATAACCTTCCAAAAGAGACAATAATAATAATTTGTAAAAGGAGAAGAGGAAGAGGAAGAGCAGCAAAATCACAGCAGTACAAGGTTATTATTGTCATTATTTAGCCAGGGATGATTTATTGTAAAGTGTTATTGCACTGGGCAGGAATGATCTCCTGTATCGGTAAGTAATAAGTTAATAAGTTAAGGAGGTGAGTCATTGTCTAAGTTTTACGATTTAAGTTGCAATGTAAAGTTTGTCGCCTAGAGATCGTCTTTCTTCATGTATCACAAGCAAGAGACAACAAATGCTGAAATATAACATCTCCCGGTTTCAATTTACTAAAAATATGTGTTATTCATCCCTGAATATGACATAATTGGGAAAAGGCAGCAGATCCTGCGAGATCAGCATGTGAAAGAGCAAGAGCGGCAGCAAAAGACAAAAATAAATAGAAATTGGGGTGAGAAGTGTTCACAGAGAGCTCACAGAGAGAGAGAGAGAGAGAGAGAGAGAAGAGGAGAATGTTTGAAATACAAGGGCGAGAGTCTAAACTTCAAAGCCTCTCGCAGCCTTTGGTGAAAACATTTCATAACAGTGGAAGAAGCCACCCGGCATTCTCCTCTCTCAGCGCCTGCTGCCTGCCATCACACAGACTGGGAAATTAGCTGAGGGAAATAGCCTTCACTTCCACTGCAGTAGGTAGCTGGTGAGGCTATTCAGTGGAAACGCTGCTATCCGGTTGCAACAATTCAATTTGCAATGACACCAGTAATTTGGGTGTAATGGGTGGAAAATTGAGAGGGTAAAAGGGGGCGAGTGGCAGAGAGAGAGAGAGAGAGAGAGAGAGAGAGAGAGAGAGAGAGCGCCGTTGGGGAGTGAGGAGAGAAGTTGAGGGGATAATATGAGGCCGAAAGATTCAGCAGAGGAGCCCCTCTCTTTGTCCATAATGTGCTTGTGTGTGTGTGTGTGTGTAGGCTTCATGGAGGTCAGCCATTCCCCTTCCAGACCTGACATTTAACTCTGACACCTCTCATCTCATCTTTCAGCCTCCCTGAGCCTCCCACAGCTTAATGAGCGACACAATGAGGACCGCGGCTCCTCCCCCGCCTCCCTCTATCTGTCCTTCTCTTCAACCCCCCCCTCTACCATTCTCATCCTCTCTCCCTCTCCAATAATCCGTGTGGCGAGTGTGTGTCACCGCGTGTGGATATGAGACGACGAGGCCGATGTGCTGCTGGCAGCCAATTACATTAATGCGCTCTCTTCTTTGAACTGCTTATCGCTGCCAGCGCAGCCATTTCCAAACACTGGGGCTCTGTCATGGCTTTCCAGGGGAGGGCTCCTGAGAGCCTGGCCGGGCCCCCGAGGTCGGGGAGGCACACGTGACGGTAGAGGACAAGCAGACACACACACACACTCTGAGTGGACTCTTGAGGGGCCGACACATAAGCCAACATTCAGCAAAGCAAGTGTCATAGTGGAAATGTTTTAAATCCACGCCAGCAGGACTCTTGTAAAGGTCATGGGATTAAATGGTGGATTATTTTACCTTATTTTATCACTTGTGCACTGCTGTCTTGTTGTCTATCGTTACACTGTCTACTGTCACGCACCAACCGCCAAGACAAATTCCTTGTATGTTTGACATATTTTGGCAATAAATGTTTCCTGATTCCTGAGCGTATGTGTGCACACTGAGGTAGAAGGCTACAAAAAAACGGACAGAAATGCAAATGCACCACGTGTCTTGCACTTGTTTCTGTTTGCAACTGCTCAACACGGTCATGTGATGTTGTGAACTGGAACAATTCTTACGTGATGTTTGGAGGAACTTTGTCAACAAATGAGCCACAAACTCATCAGTGGTTTACTTCAGTACTGTAGTTAAGCCGTATCTTTATTCACCACGTATTCACTTTAAGGTTATGCTGCCATATTCTTATGAGAAGAAGAGAGATATCGTACTTTCTGTTCTACTACTATTCATCCGAGAGTCGTAGCGACTAATCACTTTGCGGATTAAGATTTGACATATGAAAGAACTCATTGTGCATCACACCTTTGATATTACAGTATTATTTGCTTGTATTACTTCTGTAGCCTTATATAAGTATTAATGCAAGCATACTCAATATTGAGTGCTGAAGATCAGCACAATGAAACGAATAGGCCGGCAGTCACAGTGACTGTAGCGGTGCTTGTTACCAGCCCTCACAGCCACTGCCAAATTTAACTTCTACTGGAGAGATACACTGAACGAGTGCAAGACAAGCAGCAAGAAGAAACCAATGCAAAATGAGAGAAGGACGTGTAGCCTGTATGTCAAAAAAAGTTCAGCATAGTTTTTACATCAGTTGCCTTTAGAGACAGCATGCGCACACACACACAAACTCTAGTGTTGTCACATTGTAAGTTACTGAAATGAGAGACTGGACAACATAATGGCAGAGCACGTCCTACTGGTCGGGCTTTGTGGGTCTTTGATCAGTCTGCTCCCAGCCTGTGATAACGCAGTAATTAGAGGTTTTCCATCTGTCTGCAGAGGTAATAAGTGCTCTCTGTTTGACTGCCTGGAAGGAGTGCATCGTCCCGAACTACCATGTAACACATGGAAACACAAATAAAAAAAGAGAGGGGGGGGGGGTGTAAAAAGGGAGGGTGTTGGGGGAGCTTTCATAAAAAGCAATTTCATTCTAACTTAATTTTGATGGGTCCTGGTGGAAAACCTAAAGTGGAATAACATCTAGTTAATCAACTTTATTTCAATTCAGTCAATTTCACTCACGCTTCTTTTTTTTTCACTAGCTCACATTTTGGCTGGGGGGTATATAGAGATAGCTTTCTCTGTAAAGAGGAAGATGGTAAAAAAGAGATCCACATTTTACTGGATAACTATTCCTCCAGTGAGCTCTCTGGAACCCCCCCCCGCCCCCCCATATACCTTTACACATCTGTGATGAACTTACAAATCATTGCCACTCATTAAAATGCATAGCTGCAAGCCACTTGGCCTCTAATGGACTGATCCATACGTAATGTGGTGTGTAATCCTACTAAAACACGGATTTACACTGCCGACGTTAAAAATGCATCAGTCGTGTACCATGGCTGCTGCGCAGCAGGTACTCCTGTCTTGTTTTCTCAGCTCTTATGTTTGTCTCCTTCTACTCAATATCCCCCAAAACGCTTTGTGTCGTAGAGAGCAAAGACAAATCCGTCACTGATCTCCTCTAACTTCACCCTTTAATGAACTCGGCAGTCTTCAGAGACCAGTGCTGGAAAATCATTTCAGTAATGCTTCTGGGTCTGCTTAGAATTTCACTGTGACAAAGGGGACGTTTAATAAATATTAAAATGAATACATTCTATAGTTTTGAAAAATATGTTCAGTAGTTTATTTCAGTGCCACTCTGAAAGGAGTAAATGGGGTATTTGTTGGGACTTTTCTCGGCTGGAGAAAAGACAATCTGCTGATAGACAACTAGAGAAAACGGTGCTGCTCTTCCCCTTTTTATGTTAATCGACTTTAAAGCAGGACCTTTCTGTCATTGCCGGATAAATGCTTCAAAACGCGCAGCGGGAGAAAGCAACGGGAATGACATGCAGAAAAGCTCTCTTGCCGGAATCAAACTCGGGACCTTGTAAATCACACACTGTCCCACGGGGACACCTGTGTCCTCCCCTTCACCTCGTTCTCCTCTTCAACTCCACACGCTCCGCCTCTCACGGTTTACTTTAGGGGCTGCGTGGTAGCTTGAGATGCATGCTGGGTAAATATTATTGCTCGTCCTTTAACGGGAACTTTGACAAGTGATATATTCGGCTGCGATTTCAGCCGCTCACTCCACACAGGGACTGGGATCTGCAAAATAATTTTTTGCGTTTAGCTTTTGTTTTGACACCCACAACATGCTCACTAAAAGCAGAGCGCAGCCTTCACTTGTAAACAGTAAAGCTGCTAAATAAAGACTTGGTACTCCTCCTCTACACCCGTCTCTGGACTAATGTTCCAAATGTGGGATGTTGATGTTGGAGGGCTTTGACATTGTGATGCAGCTCTAACCAGCTTTAAACACAAATATAATGATGACAGTGTTGTCAACCAGAAGATGCAGCTTTGTGATGACCGGATGGATGCTTGGATTTGTATAAATAAGCTCTATTCAGTGCTCAGTGCAAAACCTTTAGCAGAGGCACCTGGACCGACACAGAACCCTGTTACCGGGTAAAAAGCAGTGGACTACGGGCGCTCGTGTCTGCAGACACTCATCCCTGCAAAGAGCTATTTGGTGTCTTCTATCCGTTCAACACTCTCAAGTCTGTCCCTTTTCATCCACTTTCATACCCCTCTTTCTCTTCGTAGGCTCTTCCCTTCACTTGAGAGGACCGTCGGGTGGAAATGCAGAAGTATGATCGCAGCGTTAGAAGATCACACACACACACACACACACACACACGTGCACACAACCGCTCTCCTCTTCGTCATGCTTAATTCATACGTGTTTCAAGGAGCTGCGGGTTGCTCCACGTGTTCGCTGTGAGCATCTCCCACGGCAGGGTCGACAGCGAGCCACTCAGGGTTCAATGAGTGGTTTCATTGGAGTGACATTGTAGTGACCCAAAAAGCCTTTGAAAGCTTTAGGACTTCACAACATGATTCTAAACGTTGTCTCCATCAAGCCGACCGAATTGCACAAGGCGAAGGTGCGAAGCCATTAAAAGAGAACTCCGGTGTTTCAGCGGCGCACTCCATGGTGGCGAGTTCATACAAAGCAGGACTAGAGATGTAATCTTTTATTTGGCTTAGTGCGTATCCACCTGAAGCCATAAAAGTCCTTGCGAAACTTTTTAATATGCAGTAAAGCTCCGCAGGTCTTAGGGAGTCAACACACTTCCTGGGCATCATGCTATGTTATACCTTCATCACATACCTTTGTGTTTTCTGAACTAGATTGCATGTTGTTCGGCCACATTTTCATTAGTCAGTCAATACCACAAACCCAATACCACAAAGTCAATACCACAAACTAGAGACTCTGCCCCTGCGGTGCCATATCGCCCCGCTACGCTGCTCAGATGTGCTTCACACACACGGTGCAGCATGTATGGGTTTTACATTCCAACACACGCGGCTGTGATGCACGACTTTCCCGTATCTGCGCGACTTGTCACAGTCTTCTTTGCTTTGCAAGCCTCTGCCTAAAATATATGATGAGCTCAGGCTAAAAGCCTCCAGAGCCTCATTTTTTTTTCATCAAAAATGTGACAGCTATACTCTCCAATATCAGAACGGGAGACTTAAATTGCAAGGAAAAGAATTGGCGGTTCACAGCTCAAAAGCTTGCCACTAGAGCTGGTAGGACAGCGGAGTGCGGAGGGAAACTCAATAAGCCTTCAGAGTGAGACATCTGTGATCAATTGTAATCAGAAAACACTGCTCCACTTCACCGGAACCGATTTAGGGACTTTAATCTGGATTCCAATTCTTCTCACCAGAAGAGGAAGTAGAGGAAAAGAGAAAGAGAAAAGAAGACACATAAACTGGGTAAAAATATTCAATAATTTTTTGTTTGTTGTTATTTTGATGGCTCGTAAAAACTGCTAAAGCAGAGAGAAATGCTAATTGCCAATCACATGTTTAACATCTTTTCAGTAGGCGGACAAGCTTCCGCCCGACAGCACAAACTTCCAGAGAAGAAGAGGACAAATAGTACGAGTAGAAGGAGAATGGGGGTGGGAGGTTGTTATTAGTATGTGTGCTGCACCGCTAACATATATTATCATATACTAACACATTATATATACTGTATATAATATAGTGGTATTAAGAATGTGTGGAATTATTCTGTCCAATAATCAAAATGATTTTCATCCACTTTTTTCCTTCTCTTCCTTCTTTGGAAACACGCAGGAGTAATAAAAAAGTAAATTAATTTTCAGTTTTGGCAAAAACGTAAGGAATAATATAAAACTGGTTAAATACAAGAAGACCTGCTTTTGTTTTAATTTGTGTTATTATTTAATAGTTGTTTAATTCTACATAGTATACAATAAATAACAGTTTTCATATATTATTCATTTGAATCTAACTATGTATATTGGCAAGGCAAAAAAATACCATTCACATTTTATTTTATTTATCGGCATTCACAAATGCCATTAATCTGTGTCAATGGAGAACATTATCAAACTGCTACTAACTTGTCACCCTGCTCTGCGGGTAGATGTCGTGCACACATCACACGGAGGCAGTAATCCTCTCTAATGCCATGAGAAATAATTTATTATATATTATTATTGTCTTTGATTGATAAATGCTGCAGTGTTGAATGCTGCATGCGTCAGGACAGGTGCAGTAGAGGAGACGTGGAAGCACTCCTTTACAGGCCCTTATAATAACAATCAAATACATTTATGTGATAATATGAATAGAAAAAGAGGACAAAATGTTAAGTATGCCTTTGTGTCTAACTAGCTCGAAAAGTATTTTATTCGTACCAGTAATGGCATTACTGACAGCATAGTTTTTTTTAAACAAAAAATTAAGAGAGAGAGAGAAAGAGCGAGAGATATCCCCCTTTGACTACTGCAGTTTCCTCATATATTTTACCCAGCAGTGTGTCCAGATTACAGTTAATCCTAAATGCCACAGCCGGACTCCTGACAGCAGTTAAGAGAAGTTGGCAAATCAGCTACATTTTAGCTTCTGAGCGCTACTGCTGTAATTTAAGACAGATTTTAAAATTTCATTGGGCACCTTTGAGGTAAACCCTCGCTCAGCTTTTTCACTGAGGTTTTTAACCCTTTACACGTGACAGTTGAGCCTGAGACCCTGGTGACGATTACTTGGGTGACTTGACTCACTGAGCCACTGAGAAAGGCCCATTAAACCCTGAACTCGGCTCGGTTGGTTATATTATTATTTATGTGCTCTTGGTTTTATAACAGACTTAAATGTAGGTCTTTTGGGTTCACTGTAACCGTACATCAATATTTCTGAAATGTTTTATAGAAATAGTTTATCTTCACCTTTATTCAGTTTATTTCAACATGAAATGTACTGAGTGTTTCTACGGGGAAGAAGGCACGATTCTGCAGCGGACAATAAATGAAAGGAAGAACAGACGCATGTTGTCGACACATTCTCCTTTCAGAATGATGCAACAGCCAAACTATTAACTTCCCGATTCATTACATAACCCACCATTAGGATTAAAAATAAGTGACACGTTTCTAAACACTCATTTACTTAAAGACCACAATCATTTAAGAAAAGAGCATCCAATGAAAGATTGAGTGTTTTTGATCCTGCCTTTCATTTTCTATAGTTACCAATCGGAGTGAGTCCAATTCCCGCACTTTGTCCTCCCCCCATTTGTAAACCAAAAGACACCCCCCCCCCCCCCCCCTGTGAGCAAAGCTGTGATTAGTCACGTCGCATAAACAACACAAACACACACACACACACACACACACACACACACACACACACACACACACACCGGCCTTTCCACTCACTGTTGGTCTTGAGGCGGGCCGGCTCGCTGTTGCGGCTCCCTGCCTGGTTGATGGCCTTGACGAAGAAGATGTAGCGGGTGCCGCTCTGCAAGCCGTGCACCGTGTAGTGGTTCTGCTTGATGTTCGGCACGATCATCCAGCTGTCTGCCGAGTTGTACAAACCTGAACAGAAACACACTGCGTGAGTTGCCAAGTTCGCTCTTAAGCCCGAGAAAGCTTTCCATTCATTACCAGAAAGAGCGAAAAAAAACGGCTTCTCATTCAGATATGCAAATTCTTTCTGCGGACATCGAGAGAGTCGTCAGGCTGCGAGAGGAGATGCAATAATCTACCCCTTCACCTTTCCATCAGGTCCCTCGTGGTACGGCACCCCTGGGGATCACAATGTGATCCGGCTTCGATTGGATCCAGAGCGGTTTGCAGCAGAGGGCTGGCAAAGGTCCGCTTGGCTCTGCCTCCAAACGCAGCGTTTTCAGGCTGACATCTGCAGCCGAGTGTGGAGGATGAAGAACAGGAAATCTCAGCTCGGCGCTGCGTGGAGCGTCGTCTCTAACGCGGTGCCCCGTGTGGCCTCGAGGTCTCGGGCGTGACAACAGATAGGGATTTACACGAGAACATTGCCGCCACTTGATCCGACACGTGTTTTTCCCCTAAGTGGCATTTTTCAGCACGGAGGCGAGAGGTGCTCATCTGGGACGGCGCTTTGGAGCCGACGCGGAGGCGGGTGTTTGTTTTTAATCACATATTGCAAAACTTGGAACTTTTGACATTTGCTAATAAGCGCCGCGCCTCTGTCGTGTGAGATAAAAAGCTGTCAGTGGAGGCGCTGTGTTTTGCACGGCCTGTAATGGCCATTAGAGGACAGGTGAACAGCACCGGGCCTCATGACCTTGTTAAAACGTGTCTCTTTTGTTATTTGTTAGACGTGAAGGAAGTTCTGTGAGCTGAGAGCATTTCTTTCACCTACATAAAACATTCTGAACACATTCAAACAAACCCTCGGCAAAACACAGAAGGCATCTTGTTTCTACCAGTCCGGCTAAAGTTAACGTTTGTAGTTGGAGTAACAATTACTTTCATTGTCTCATCTTCCTCCTCCTCCCTGCAGCGAGCGCTCGGAGGGCCGTGGCTACCTCGTCCCTTCTGGTGAGGATGGCTTGTGAATTATTGAACGAGATGGCAACAGCATGCATAAGTAATATCCCAGAGTCTGCTTGTAAATATAAATACTTCACAGGACGCAAATAAGGCCTTTAAAAGTGAGGCAGCGTTAAGAATGAATGAGGTGGGGGGAGGGGGGGCTGCTAAAGTGAAAGTGAAGGCTGTGACTTCACATATCGGACGACTTCCACGAGCTTTTCTCCAGCTTGATTTCAGAAGAGAGACAAAGAGAAACTTACACGCATTGTTTTGCATCCTCAGCTGGCCAGCTGATTCTTTATTTCAGCCCACTCTTACTGTGAAATCTTAAAATACAAGGATGTGGTCTTTCCCTTTTTGGGAAAACAGTGCCTGCCACCTGCCATTTTAGCTACTTCCTGATGAAATGAAGCACGGCACAATGTAATGCGGCCTTTCCTAAGGAGATACGGGGAAAGGACGAGGTGGAAGGACTTCACGTCGCTTTCCATTTTGAAAGCTTTTGATCTCCGAAGCACCTCTCCCTTTTTTGCGAAATCAAATTAGGTCAGAACACAGCGATGCTGCTACTGCTACTTCTCCCGGAGAAAAGGGGCTTTCTGACACTAACGCCGCCGCTTCTGACGGAATTGCGACTTCAAAGTGTGTTGGGGAAGTGACTGAATGTGTCATCGTAAAAAGAGAAAGATAAAGGAAGCGGGGAAATGGATCGGCTTGTGTCTTGCAGGAGTGAGTGTGTGTATGTACAGAATTGTGTGTGTTTGTCTGTTTGAGAACAGACACACAAAACACAGCGGTTCCGGTTAGCGTATGCTTGTGTGCATATAGTGTTGTATATGTGTGTAAATGCAAGATGCAAACTGCAAGCAGCTGTGCATGAATAAAAGTGATATTATGCATCACCAGCATCTTTTGCTGCCTTCACAGAACTTTCCCACAAACTGGACATTTCAAAGAACTCTTCTAAAAGGCCGATCCAGCTGATACTCTGAAAGACGCTGTGTTGAGAAAACAAAGATTTATACTAGACTTTGACCAATGTGCTACCGCTCTCACCGGTTCTAGCGACAATAACACGTCACCACAGGCCTACTGCATACAAACACAAATGACAGCAGGAAAAAAAGAGGTTGAGGTCGTGCAGAGGTGCATCAGCTGAGCAACTCAGGAAAACCGATGGGAAGGCCGCCAGTGAGGCTAGTTGGCTTCGTAACGTGTCAGTTTATGGGACCATCAGGAGACGCATTAATAGACACAAAGGGACTGTAGAGTCAACAAGGTGCTCATCGTGATGATGATGATGATGATGATGATGATGATGATGATGATGCTCTTGCATCAGCTGCTGTTTTTCTATTCAGTTAACAGCTACTTCTTTTTCAAACTAATTCAATAAAGTTACAGGTAAAGTAATCCTTCTTCTAGTACCACTTAAGCTCATTAACTAACATGTTATATATATTTATTGTGCAATCCAGACAAATCCCAAAAGGTTAAACGCAGGAAACAGGATCTATGTGCTGCAGTGTATCTTGCTTGGGCAAAGTGACGTCACTCCGTGTCCAGCGGATCAGGAGATTTCCCAAAATGTCAAACTACTCTGTTAACTACTGCTATGTTTTGAGTGCATTAAAGTGGAAATGAGTGTGGAGAAAGAAAACCTTTGCTTTCTGTTTAATATCGGACTATGATGTCTGAGTGCGCATGAGAACATCCTTTTTGTGTCGTGCGAGTACAGAATACTGTTGGCTGGCAGATAAACACATGGGTCAAAGGGCCGTAGGTAGCAGCCCCACTGTGACACAAACATCTCTACTTGCAGTCATATTCGCCTCTTACTTGTATCCGTGGCATTTGGTTTTACTTGCCGATTCTATTTTCTGCTGCTGTGCTCGGATGATCCTGAAGAAGCGAGGTTAACAAGACCCCTCTCCTCGTGGGAGAGCCGGGGCTGAGGATTAAGCCAGGACACACACACAAAAAAAAAGAGAAAGAAAGGATGGCGCTCAAGTGGGAGCATTTAGCCGCGCAAAGTTTGATATGAATGCCGTGGTAAAAACGAGTCGAGCGGCGTGCCGGGCTAAATGGGTTTCTCTCTTTCTCTTGTGAATCTCGGAGGACTCTGTGGCAGCACACTGCTGAATATCTGAGTCACTCAGTCTATCACAGCTGAAATACATCCCGAGGTTTCCAATGGCCGGGGCACTCGAGCTGCATGGCGAGTTGGAGAAGTGTCAGAATCCACAGAGAGGAGAAGGGCTGGTGAAAGGATCAGCGTGGAGAGGCACAGGTGTGCGTTCACATTCATGGTGATGTGCATCAATCACACCCTCCTCACGTCAGTAAGTGGTAATTCTCACCTCCCCTATATAATCATTATCCACTCAGATTGTCACCTGTTCTCCCGGTGCTCTCCTCCTCCACCGTGAGCTTTCTATCCCTTTATTTATGAGGGAGTTTTTTCCTGTTCAGGATATTTGGACTTTGAATTAATGCATTTCATTTCCCTGACGGTGCCATTACAAAATGTTCCTAACTTTATGTAAAACGTCATCACGTTGTGGCGGATTGTTCATCTATAACAGGCATATGTCGTTTAAAGGTGGCAACAATTGCACAGATGTATAGCTTATACTGGTATAACATAAAAATGTGGCGATTATTGGATAACGCTCCATACGAAAAGGCCGCACTGTATCCAGGCACAACTATTCATTGCGGGGTAGGTTTGATATGAGCGAATTTAGGACGTCTTCCAAGCCTCTCGTTCTGGAGTTTAAAGCCAAATCAATGAAAGCAGCATAGAAAAGACCAACTCATAACATGCTCTTATAAAATGACAACCAATGCAGCGATATATGCTGCAGTATGAAACACGAGAAGCATTGACAGACATTTACCAAGAAAAAAAAAGAATTACGGAATATTAAGTAAACCCTGAATATAAATCATGACATCTTCCCCAGCCTGGAACAAAGATAAGCCTTGGTATTGGGAGCAATGGACAGAAAGTCGAGGTTATGTAACCCCTTGTGTAGAGCATGAAAAATATAATATAAGTAATTTGTTGCTCCAGGTAATCATTTTTTTAACGGCAGAGAGGTTAGTGTGCGAAGCTTTGTAGTTTTAGAGTCCAACCTGCGTTATATTTTTTTCCTGATTTGCATTTACTGTTATTGTTGTTTACAACATTTACAGTATATTAGTGCTAAAACGTAGCATAACTGCACCACAAATCGGGAAGAGTCTGATGTAAACTGATGTATGATATATGTTAATATTTGTCATTAGCCAAGATTGTGTTTCATTCAGTCCCGTTTAAATCTCGTGATTAAAACATTCTTTATAATTGAGAGATCCATTGATCTCTAACGTATAAAGTTACCATGCAGGTATTCTGCTCTAATTATGTATCAGACGCTTCCATGTTGGAGCCTTCAAAAGGAAACCGGATGAGTGTTAAAAACACTAAATAGCCAGTTTGGCATGTTGATGAATTCCTTATTTCATAGAGAAAATCAAAGCAAATCAAATATTTCTGCCCATGTTTTCAACTGCTAAAGTATTCAAACACAGTTCACACTTGACCAAACCGTGATTAAAAAATCGAATAAAAATCCCCTGGCTGTTGAACCCTGGAAACGCAATTGAACATGAACTTCTCGGCCAGTGAGTGCATGTGATCTGTAGCACGGATCTCATTTACTATGATACCATACGGTGTATGTGCACAAGACTCACTGATGAAATTGGTCTGGCCGGTGTAGATGGTGTACTGCAGCTCGTAGGAGGTGACGCTGAACTCGTCCTCGGACGTCCAGTGAACAGTGATGGTGTCGTGGGAGGCGGTGCAGAGCTCGTCTCTGATGGATGGCGGGGAGGGCGCTACGCGACCAGGAAACCACAACACGATGGAAGCAATTGTTATAAATTGTCAAAACAATAATGGTTATAATGTTCCATAATGGTAATATGATACATGATCTTAACATTTATAAATATGTTATAATAAAACATTTTTAAAACATGTTTACGCTTGCGTGTGTGTGGCCTTTGTGGACCAGACTGACGCAGCTCTTACCTGTCAGGTAATCTAGCGCCTCCAGAATCTTCTTCTCCCGAGAAAAGTCAAGAGCAAAGTTGTCAAACGCCTCATTCAGGTTGACGTCAGGAATGAGTACCTGGGAGGATGCCGTCGCCATGGCAACCCTGCGTAGAGGTCAGGACACGGGGGCGAGAAAAGCAAATGTCAGGGGAGCGAAGGAGACGTGACGGAGCAGTGGAGGGGCCACAGCGGAGGAAAAGATGGAAGGTGATGCAGAGGTCAACAAATGTGAGGCGAGAGGGGAAGGAGGCGGAGGATAGAGGGATGAGGTGGCAGACAGCAGTGGATTGTGAGAAACGGATGAAAGAAAGAAATGCATGAAGAAGGAAATGTGGAGGAATCAAATATGAAATAAAAACAATATAGAAATATGCACAGCATAGAACATAAAAATTCTCCCAGAGACCCATCAAGACACTAACCAGGCACACATTGACACACTGACTCCACGGTTTGTGCAGCTGTGTGGAAAGTTGTGTCTACTTCTGCTGTGAGCATCAGCGATGTGTCTGAGGCAGCGGCCAGAACCACAGAGCTGGGCAGAGCCGAGGCTTTCAAACGTTCGACCCTCAGAGAAGAGAATCCAGCCGTTCAATAAGGCTCCCGGCTGGATAAAAAGAGGCTACGCTAGCTATAGACTGTCCGGGGGAGAGGATAAGTGAGGCAGCTCCCAGCCCGTGGAGGCAGGGGGGAGGTTCTGCAGGTGTGCAGGTGGGAAGAGAAACCGCATAACTGGCCACGTGAAAGATAGACGATCCTCACCAGCGGCCTTGGATTGATATAATGCTGATTCACCAGCTGCATCACTTTCCAACATTGGCATTGGATTTCATGGAAACGAAAAGCAGACCCACTGTAGGGCTTTAGGGGTTTTGTGTCTTACCATTGCATTTATTTCTGTGTGTCTTTTTTTAATCTAAATAACCTGATGATGAGCATATGCAACACATCCATCAATCAATGGTGTAAAAACTGGAAATTCCAATATTTCACTGTGTGTGTGCGCAGATGTGTGTGTCGATGCACTACGAAACTCACCTTTCCGCCACATTTCGGGCGGTCTGGAGGAAGCGGGCGTGGTCGTTCTCCTTCAGGCTCTGTTCCGCCTGTGTGATGAGGGCACTGGAGCGCTCCAGACACTGCCGGCAGTTTGCAATCTGCTGAGCCAGCTTACGTAGTTTCATCACCTGGAACCAAAAACATGAACACGCGCCGTGTTACGACACGCCTATTATACCCGTTAGCTCGGTCTGAGCCTGGGAAGAGAACTGCTGAAGAATCGTACCCTTCTGGATGGATTGAATGACAGCTGTCAGACACTCAACAATAAACCTCTAGATTGCATCAGGGAGAATTCGCCTAGACAACGTGATGCAGGGAAGAGCAGGGTCATTGACAGGAAAGCTCGCTCACACGTACCAAGAATGTACGAAGTCCTGCTGGTTCGCTCGTAGCTGAAGTGAATGAGACATTGGCTCTTTGTGCTCATACTGACCTCATGAGCAAGTTGCATATTAGGGGGGTGAATAGAATAACGCTTTGTTATCTGACAAAATAACAGTCATAGGTGTATTTCTGTGGGGCTACTTGAGAGAGAAATACAGAAAAAAAATATGGGAGTTGAGACGGCGATGAATTCACTAAAAACAAAACCTAGAGTTCATCAGTCAGTCAGCGCTGAAGCTCTGTATACACAAACATAAGCACACGGGGTTTTGTTCTATTATCTTAACATGATTAACATATGAGCAGAAGGCAGCCTATGCAATTCTCATTTGAATTAAAGTAATCCATCTATCTTCATTAGGGCTCATGTCCTCAAATGAACTTAGTTTGATGAAGCTCTCCACAGGCTGCTGGTCAGCCGGCAGACTGTCAGCGAGAGGTGGGCTGAGAATTCAATACCAGCCTCAGTCGGGGCGCCGCTCAGCAAAGATGATTGCCATTTAAAAGTTCAAAGAGGTTTTTGTTCAAACAGTAAGGTCAAGTAGTCGTATTATAAAGTATAGTGTCAGTACCAGCTAACAACCTGCTGTCTGTCTGAACATTCAAAATGAAGAATAAATTCTCCCTCTCTAACAATATGCCGTTTGTGTGTGCGCGAGTCTCTCATCTAAAGTAGAAGAATTACAGTCTAATCTCAGCCTAAGTGTTGGGCCAATGGAACATTTATATTTAGAATGTTATTTTTATCGTTCAACCAATGACTTCCTAAAAAATCTTCCTAAAAACTAGTTTGGAAAGTAGTTTCCAGGAAAGCTTCGGCTCCCGGCAGGAAGCTGGATGTTCATTAGTTACAAATACTAAGGCATCACCTGCTGACTTCAATCGAGTGTTTCACGCGTACCTCCGTCACCTACGCATCACCCCTCCACCCGCTACCAGACTTTTACACACCCAGACTCCCGAGGGAACGAGCCTTGCTCTTTGTCGCACACGCCTACTTCTGTCCTCGTGTTCAGTGTCTGGAAATCTTTCATCCTTCGACAAAGCTCTTTCGCTGCCTCAAGCACTTAAAGCCTCACCTCTGGGAGGGTGAGATTTAGTGAGTTTCCCTCTGGCCTTAAACCCTCGGGGCTCAAAGGGCAGCAAACCGCAAATAAAAGGCTCGAGCATGTGTCCGCACGTCCCTAAGTCCTGCAGCCACCTCACTCCGGCCTTTGCTGCCACCTCAGACACTTTCCACACACATTCAGCCTGGATGCAGACGCCTGGCCGAGGTCCTTGCAGCGCTTTTTCCCCCTGACGCGTTTCTCTTTACCGGCTCTCTTCAAGTGTCCATGTGATACGTGCCTTTTAAAAAAAAAAAAAACTTTAAGAGACCTGAATAAATATTCCTTATTCATTGTGCTGTACAAACGTTACAAATCCACTGTTTCTCTGCCAACGCCGTTCCTCAAATATCGTACTGTCAATTTGGGTGCTTCAAAAGGCAGAGAACAAAACCTGTGAATTGATACACTGAATAAAGTAAAGTAGACCCTCGTCACCCTACTGTTATCAATCTAAAACTGTGATACATTCATTTATATTTAGTCTCTATTCCCCTTTATGGCCAAATAAATGGTGGATGTAGCTTTAACTTACCGGAACCATCCAGTCGTCACAATTCCAGAGGACTTTGAACATAGTAAACAAGTAAAAGTAGCCGGGCATCCTGGGAACACTTTACCTTGGATTCTTTGATCTTCACTGCGATGACCTGTTTTCTCTGGCGGATGATCTCCACCAGCTCATCACACTCCTCCACCAGCTTGGCTTCGTGCATTGCTGTGTTTACCTGGAGGCAGAATCAGGGACGCATGTTAACTTGAGGCTTCTGACTCTCTGTTTGCTGGGAGCTTTGTCAGATTTCTGGATTAGCAGCCGCATCAGATATAATCACACTTACACGCAGAGAACACCATTTGCGTTTCCATTTCATTCTGAATTCTGCACACTGCCTCTAACAAGACGCGGCGCTGGATTAGAACTGACGTGAGATGAGATGATTTTTCGTTGTCAGAGGATAGAAGAGAAATCTTTTAAAGTTACAAAGCATCCACTGATCGGAGGATCCTTGAAATGCAAACAGCAGATTCACTGATTGCCTCACGGTCCTCCATCTAGTGGGCTTTAACGTGACAAGAAACGTCATTTAAATAATTGGCCATCCTCTTAAATGTTTCTTACTTACTGATGGACTTAATTCATTCATTGTTTTTGCATGAAACACTCCCATCTTATTAAACATCATTATAAAACAAGAAATACGTTGGAAAGTGTCAGAATATTCAACTCTTCATTAAAAAGGCTTCCAGACACAAAAGCTTGGCAGACACTCATTAAGTCACAGACACATTTTGCTTAAGACCACACCAATTTAGTACATTCTGTGATTATTTCAGGAGCGAAGTTGCCAAGGCAACTCATCATCAGCACCATCTCAGGCGAACACTAAATGAACGGCCAGGAACCTCGATATTGTGTTGGTTGGTGTCACACACTCAAACGCTGAGCTGCACAGCTTTGCCAAAATAGGGGCTGGAGGGGATTTGCAAACAAATTTCTCCTCTGAATGAGGAATAAATCCTATACCCGCGCATCATACAGACGGAAGTTGTTGTGTACTTTCTACATGACCTCCAGGCAACTGCACACAGAAAGGTTTGGGTGTACCACGTCAGAGGAAGTCGCGACACTTCGACAGGTGCACTGCTTCCACCGCGCTGGAGAGAGTCTCCGTCATTTGGTCCGCGGGAGCCAATTCAAAAACATCAAGTTACGGTACAACCCAGCACCACGACTGTGGGGCGCTTTCACGCACACAGGCAGCGTCAGAAGAATCCAGAAAAGAAGAGGAGGGAAATGCACAAACGGACCAGCAACAATTGCCTTTAAGGCCTCCGACGTTCACCGCACTTTATCTGCCTCAGTGGTTCCATAGTGTTTATTGTCACACAGGCACTGGGGAGGCTTTTCTCTGCAACGCACTGACCGGAGCAAAGAGTGCTGCTGAGTTGGCAAACGCTATGCATTGTGAGGAGAGACCTTTTCACCGCTCTGACCCGTTCTCCCGCACACGCCCCAATGCTGAAAGCTTCTGGAAAACAAGCAGGAGAGTCAAATCCAAACTGAGTGAGACAAACGTCCAGAAAAAAGTCACCTGCTTTTGAATGTTTAAAATACTTGCCCCCCAAGTTCCAATCATCACTCCACAGAGCTCATTACAAGGAACCGATCCACTTAAGCCTCTTTATTCTCCCTCACATGTACCGTACATACACACACACATCGGGCACAGCTCATTCTGCAAAGAGCAATCTCATGACCGCAGGTAAGTACTTAGGCAGGATAAATGCAGCTGTCCAGGATCACTGCGAATTAAAACCGGCAGCTTAGAGTTAAGGAAACAATCTCCATCTCCATGCTCCTCCTCCTTCACCATCCTCCTCGTCTTCCTCTGCCAGCTTCTGGCATTGCGATCCCCTCCCTACTACTCAAACACTGTGACTAAAAGTGGATCTCCCTTTTCATCAGGTTGAAAACTCTTTCAGTGCCAAAGACATTTACAGCTGTTCCTGCTTTCAGGACGGTTTTAGAAATCAGTTTGCGGACGGCGGGGAGATGCAGACATAACAAGCACCTGAATAGATTAAATGAGCTCATTTAGATCATTGGGAAACGGCTGAGCGGGGCCAAGTGGGGTCATTCGGATGCCGTTGATCACACGGACGACGCGCTCAAGTCCAAACGTGGACGCTCCCCTGATGTTGTGGCTAATTCACTCACTATCTTGTGATTTTGAGAAAATCTGTTCACTCACCAGAGAGTTAAACTAAAGTGTGTGTATGCGTTTTAATGGGTTTGTAATTTTCGTTCAGTCATTATAAAGCCATAAGTATTTGCTCAACTGCAACACCAGGACAGTGCTACATTACCCATGTGACTATTCTTAGGCTGTGAATCTGCACAAACCGACATTGTGTCAACATGCATTTTTCAAACACACACACACACACACACACACACACACACACACACACACACACACACACATTTATTTGATTCCTGATGTTTCCATACACACACAAACACACACATACCAAAGACATGTAATCGACATTCAACAAAATCACAGCCCTGCTGCCTTTAGTGTCACGTTTTTAAAAAGATCTCAATAACTTTTGTGGCATTTCAACTGTCCTCATTGAAAATAAAAAAGGTAATTGTTTAAGACTACTATACGATTATTTTTTATCATATAGCTGAAAGTAAACAGATGACAGGAAATGATGACTGATTCACAACAAACGTCATAGTTGGATGTGAGTCAGGGATGTTATGGTCCATGGTTGCCATCTAAAGCTATTGTAATATATTACATAATAATAATAATAATATTGTAAAGAAATTTGAACAACTAGACCAGCTTCAGAATGTGGACACCCAGAGTACCAATTGAGGACAACGAGCATGGACGTCTCCCAAAATGACCCGCTCTCGCCAAAGTGGCTCCCATTCCACACAAGGGAGGACTGGTCCCAGTTTGCAACAGCTGTTAACCTCTCACTGCCCCCCCTCTCCCTCCCTCCCCCGTCTCCAATCAATCCCGAGACCCTTCCCCTCCAATCAGCCTCTCCTGCCTCCTAGTCCACTTGAGTTTTTTTTCTGATTCTTTCTATTATACCTCTAGTCCCCATTCTGTCTGCTTCACTGAGACGCCCCCCCCTTCCCCCGTCTCCCCCACCTCCCTCCCCCGTCTCTCAGACATGATCTCCCCACAAAGATGCCAGGATTCAGTCTGAAAGCTTTATCTCTGATGGCGTCCACGGATGCGGGTAAAGATTGTCAGTGGCACTTTGCTTTAAAAGAGTGGCTTTATGGAAAGTGTTTATACGCTGAGCCCATTCCCCGATAGAACACGAATCAATGATTATTGATTATATATAGATACATATAGATTTAGAGATACATTTAAAGTCCTGTTGAAGGGAGGAATTTATTTGACTGCAGTCTTTTTAGCCCACAGCTGACGTCTGCACCACATCTGCTGAAGAAGAACTACAGGATGGATTTCCATGAAAGTTGTCCACGTAACTTTGGGCCCCAGAAGATCCACTGACTACTTGTCCTTCTTGTGAAAGACCTGAACATCTACGACATTCATATTTTCCTGAATAAAGACTGATGATCGTCCGAGCGTCATCGAGCAGCCCAGATTTAAATCTGTCCGACACCTGCGAAACACACCTGGCATTCCCACAGCCCTTTATACGATGTGCCAAGTACAACGTGTTATCTTGCCAAAGTGCTTAACTAAGATGCTAGATCTGAGCACGTTAGCATGCCGACAATAGCATTCGGCTGAAAGCTGAAATGAATGGACTCAACAGACGGAAGAAGGAACATTATCCTAAATACCTCACCTAAAATCAGAGGAATATATCTTTTAACAAATGAAAACATGGGATGGCCATCTGGTGCAGGCAAACGATAACGACTGCATTAAGACGAGGGTTTGTTTTCAGTAAATGCCGTTATGCTGCCGCATTGATTCTCTCTGTGCCTGAAAGTGGAACCGCGAATGGGTTCGAAAAAATAAGCAAAGACAAACAACACCAGTGGAGTCTTTGGATCTCGCCGAAGCTCTGGTAGAAAAGTAAAGAGAGGCGAGACGAGACCCGATGCAAAGGATTAGGGGGCATTACAGCCGTCCCATTTATTCTCTGCACACAGTGGGATCTGCCTCCGTGTACATAAACCTACACAGTTCTGCACAACGACTTACAGCTCAATGATTAGTCAGCAGACGTACATGTCTGAGAACTAAACCCAGTGGACTTCTGTTTCCATCAATCCTGATACGCACACGCCTACGGCTTTATTAGTGAGATCATTTATTTCCTCCCAGCAGGCAATGCAACCGGAGGGGTTGTAAAAAACGGCTGCTGCTTTGACTGCTTCCTCCAACAATACTAGATGGGCATTTGTGGTGTCTGGGTATTCCCTAATATATTTATATATATATATATATATATATATATATATATATATATATATATATATATAGATATCCCTTGGAGGGTCACTCAACCCAAAAACAGAGAGATAATCGGAGATCGGAGTGAGATAAAGTGGGACGGACCTAAACGAAAGTACACAAAATCAAGGAAATGTTAGGTAAGTCAGAGTATAAGTATAAGAGGAAGAAGGAGTCCAGGCAAAAATGAAAATCTCCTCAAAACATAGCGAAAAACAGCTGCGTTTGCTCATGAGGTAGCAACGCGTATTTAGAAAATATACACGTTCAGTGAAGTAATACATAAATAAAGGTTAGCTGATTGTTGTGAAATCAGGGAAAGATTTTTCCAAACAAATATCACAATGGAATTTAGGCATCTTATTTCAACTGTTATATAATGTAAATTAAATAGATATTAGAAGAATAGAAGATATTTTGCAATTGAGATCTTTTACTTTGGCTCAACAGTTGGTGTCCGTTGCCGTTGTAGCAATCTATTCAGTATCAAAGGGGTTCTTGGGGGGAAATGCTCTTTGCCAAACAGCCTCACTGAGTGGCTCCGCTCCGCAGTTTATTAATACCCGGCCAGCCATCTGGCACTGGATGGACAACAGTGAGCGTTAGTGAGCTCAACCCAAATGCACAAGGATCACGGCGTTTGCTCAAAGATGTCCGTTTCAAACGCAGAACATTAACCCTGAACGTTGTTAAACGGCGGCAACAGGAGCAACAATCGCACACCGGGTGATGCAATGAGGAGAGCGGCCTCCTGAGGAAGAAACGCGTCCCACTCATCACCAAGTCGTCTCCTGACAGAGACGAGATGATCCCCAGGAGAACAGGGCTGATCTCTGCTGGCTGCTGACTCGCGCCGTGTTTGATCACGTCTCCGGCACCAGTACAATAAAAGTGCAAACAAGGAGGAGAGGAAACCCGGTGCACGGTCAAAGCCCTACAGAGATTTCCCACCGCACAGACATTTTTAAACTACCCTGTCGGTGCTGGATTACATTATTTCTTAGTTTCTCCTCCTGCAAAGTTCCTGTATCTGTTTGAGTCAAAGCGATCATTGGTTGTCACGCTAAACCCTCGGGTCTGCTTTTCCCGATCCTGCGCTTGCCCTCTCGATCCAGCACTCTCTACTCCTTTGATTCTTTCTCTTTCTTCCTCTACCGTTCCCCATCTGTCCTCCACTGCACTGTTCTCCTCGACTCTAAAGGGCCACATGAATAGGAATTTACCTGGGAACATTTCTTGTATAATAGAATAGCTATGAATGAGTGCAACAGGGAAATATGTTGTTTATTCTCATAATTTGCTTATGAGTCAACGGAGCATTGCTATTGCTCTTTATTTTTGATGCGTACTGTGCTGACTGTGCTGATGTGCTGTGCTGATGTCGTCTGCGGTGGCCCAACATTAGTATGCAGACAGAGACAATATGAAGACAGCCTTTTCTTTGTCCCCCCCCCCCCCTCCACGCGTTGTTGACAAACTGTTTGTCTCTACTTAATGAAACACTCAGCGATCGTTTCATTTCCATTGGGTGAGCGAGCCGCATGAGTTGTTGTTCACGGACCTCCGAGTGACTCAGAGAAAATGGAGTGAGGCTCGCTAATAATAAGAAATGAAGGGCGCGCAGAGCGAGGGCGGCGCCAGAATGCATCTTCCCTCCGCGGCTGTTAATGTCAACCCTCGCAAAGAAATGACGGCGGCGGAGGAGAGCCGGCGGGTTGATGCGGAAAGTGGGATGTTCTGTGTGCGTGTGGGGTTTGTGAATGCGCACAATAGCTCGGCGGCAAAGCGTTAGCACTCTGTGGCTGGATTCACTCGGGTAACTCCATTAAATGACGGCGGCAGCAGCACAAATGGGACGGGCCACGTTTCTGCAGACAGGTATGGGCTCATGCAAACGCTCCTTCCGAGGCCACTAAATCAGAGCGGCTGAGCTGTGAAACATTGCCGGCCTGTGAAGATGTAAGTCATTTGACGGATAATCGTATCTGCTGTAAAAGTGGGAGCGTATGTTTTCCTGTATGAGTTGCTCCAGCTGGACTGTAAAAAAAGAAATAGTGTTCAACACAGTGAAATGCATGAAGACCCAACCTCACTGTATTACAAGACACAGCTGGGACAATGACATTGGACACAGTAGAATCATCACATCGTAATAGAAGTTTAGTTCAGTGCACACGTGCTTTTGGTAGAAGCTTTGTCCTCAGTGCAGCGGTCATTCCAATGAAGTTGTCTGAATTACATAACTGCCCCTTGAGTCAGTTTATCTGGAGAGCAACTGGCCACTGACAAACTAACTGGTATCATTGTGCATAAAAACGTCCCAGTGACTGTAATTATAAGGGGATTGAAGGTACTTTTAAGTCATTATTGTTGAATCTCCTCGGTTTTATTTTTGGCGTTTTTTCATTATAAATTGTCAGAAAAAAGGTGCAGCACTGCTGACCTCTGCTGAACCCCTGATGGGGATTTGAAATTCACTTTTACTCTAGCGACTACTCAATATTTCATCAGCAGCGCCCACAGCAATCACTTTGTTGCCGGCACAAAACACAACCGTCGTCCAGGAGGAGTGGGAGGAAGAAAAAAAAAAAAAGAAGAGCAAGGAATAAATAAATTAAAGTCCAATTTCTACCAGTGTGTGTTTCTATCAGAAAGGTTCCAGAGTCAGACACAAAGGCATCAGATCCGTCACCAACGGCGAATGCAGTCGACCGTCAACAATCAGTAACAGTGAAATGTTTGCGGTTGGTTTCCCTGTTCAGTTCATGCAGGTTAAGGCCTCAATCCACAAACCGTTTCCCCTTTGACCTGCAGTCAGAAAACCATAAAACTGAAACCACGGATTGTTTTGGGACTGTTTTAAAGCATGACACATTAGAAGTGCCTACAGTGGCTTTTTGGATGTTACATATAAAAACACAGGCTTCACATCCATGGTGATGGCAATTTAAAATACTCCACTTTCATTTGTTCATTAAGGGTTAAAATGCAAATATAAATGTTTGTTGATCCACATAAATATTCATTATTTATCACATGTCATGACAGCCACACAGGCTCCGCCCTCTACTGGACTCTGTGGGTAGTGCTATACAAATATCCGCATGCAAACACAGCGACAGGTGGCGTACCTCAACCTGCTGACAGATCTGGATGAGCTTTGCCATTTGGTTCTCCAGTTCGCTGTTCCTCTTCACCAGGTTGGTCAGGTTGTTCTCCAGCGTTTGCTGTGGGGAGGAAGGAGGAGCGCACAGAACTTAAAAAGCCAGGTTCTGGGGATGGGTTCCATTTTTAAGTTTAAGACACCTGATAATATAATAATATAGTATATACATTTTTTTACAACATGCAATGTGTGTTCCCATTAAACAGATAATAAACAAACAACTATACATCTCTATTACATGGATAAGGTGACTGCATGCCCGAGGATGTGATGTGTTTGGTGAATCCGTGATATCAGTGCCTTGTTATCAACATCATACACGATACGAAGCAATTCACGTGATCATACTAATGACTTAATGCATGTAGACTGAGAAGCAGAACGACTTGTAACTGTAGTGATGTTCGGAAACTGTATTGAAAACCAAATGACATCAAGAGGAACTGAGATAAATATCATTATTACATAAGTAATACAATTTCAAACACATTTTTAGGGGAGCAACAACAAGACAATGATTTAGTCTTTCAAACTAAATAAGTGGTCATTTAGATTTCTTCTTTTGTTCATCAACGCGTAATAATACACGTCATCATGTCCTGAGGGTCACCTCATAGCAACTGAAATCAAAGCTTTACTAATGTTTAACTGCTGTTGTTTTGCAACTGGACATTTCAAATATTTCATTAAATTAGTCCAAATTCATTTGAGGTGGAAAAAGTTGTTATTCAAACACATTCTATTCTATAAGGATACTTTGACAAGTCAATACCTTGAAATCAGTATTTGAAGCCAAATACACTATTCATTTCTGCCCTCTTGAAACAAAGTCAATCCCACGATGCAACTCCTTTTGTTTATTTTCATCGCGCTTACTGTAATACGAGGATTTTACTGCCTGACCTTGTCACACTTTATAGCCATGAGAACAGACAGATGATCCGAGACAAACTAAACCCGATCAACCGGCGCCTCCCACTGATCAAACACTCGATTACTGTCCGTTAACTGAGGCGGTTTATCGAATGCACAGCAAAAGACACACATCAAATAAATTCACTCAGACACATGAACAGCACAAGATGAATGGCGAGACAGAAATAGCACGCCATTCAAAGGGAAGCAAATCAACGATGGCGTCGACGGCGAAGGCTCCAAAACAACAACAACAACAACAGCCACAGCTGCAAAGAGAACAGCAGAACGAAGCAGCGGACAAGCGGCGGTGTTTGGAGGAGGCTCACTCATGCAAGTGAAAGGGAGGCGGGCCGAGGAAGCACTTGACCCCGTCTCTGACGCCGCCTCCCTCCCTCCCTCCTTCCCCTGCATCCCGTCCTGAATCCCTCCGGGTGTCTACCTGCCCGCCTGCATGCAGCGATCGGGGTGAGAGGGGGGGTTGTGGGGGGGAGGCGGGGGTTGGAAAAAGGCAGCCAGGGAACTCACCGCAGCGCTTGTCTTTGAAGCCTCCATTACCGCGTCTGACACTCTGCCCGGGCTCACCTGATAAGCCTACAAACACACACACACTTGCATAAGTGCACACATAAACAAACAAAGACACAGACACACACACACACACACACACACACACACGGACAAGCCCGAACGCACAGAGTAGCGCTGCCACAACCTGAGGGCCGTCTACAGGAGCGCAGACGAGAGCGCGGCTCGCAGTGTCTGGAGATGAGATCACTGGAAGCGTTGTGCGTTCGCTGTGTCGCAGCCCCCGAGTGAGCGTGTTTGCGTATGAGGGGGTTTGAAGTGAAGCATCAGTGAGAGGGGACAGATGGGTCATTAATTAGCAAGCTGGAGACAAAGATGATTAATACATCGGAACATAGCTGCCTCCCGTGAGACGGCGGTGAAGCAAACTCCTCCGTCCGCCACGTACACACACGCCCGTGTGGGAGTGTAGGGTGTGTGTGTGTGTGTGTGTGGGGAGGGGGAAATTTGAGATAGACATTATCCGTATGTCTGTGACATCCTTTGGTTCCAGCCCAGAAGGACGAGGGAGAGAAAGAGGGGGGGGGAAGCAAATGTCAATAACAAACTCATTAAAACACACAACAGACATCAAAGACGACTAGAACCACTCAGCGAAGGAGAGAGGCAGCGGAGGAGAGCACAGAGAGGAGGAAATGTAGGGGGGGGGGTGTTGAACGGATGGTGACAATCATGAACCCGATACGATGGCTTATTCTGTCAAAGTCATTATTGGAGCAGCTCGTGTCCTTTGAAGCGAGTGCCACACTCAGGATTCACTGAATGACGTCGCACAACTCGAACTTCCTGCATTGTGTAAATCGCTTACTGATCCCTACAGACGCTATTTAGAACGCTTTTAACAGGAAGGCCTTGTAGCACCATGAGCTTTAACAGAATATAATAATAATAATAAACCTTTACACCTTTGTTAAGGTCGACCTTCCAGCCACGAGGCGAACTTCAGCTCTCAGCTGAGGGCCGTGTTTTAAACACTTTGAGACCGTTCAGCCTGTATTGGCAGACAAATTAGGAATACGAGGCCATAAATACAATAGGGCACCCACTCGAGGAGACAGCGAGAGATAAAATAGAAGAAGGGAGACGGAGGGGTGAGAGAAGGGAGGGCAGAGCAACCCATGAATGGAGGGAAGGGGCACGTCGGAGGAAAGTAGAAATGAGCGACTAATTGCATTTCATTAGCTCGAGCCACTCGTTGGGTGCAGGCGGGGCTCGCAGCAGCAGGTAATTCATGCATCCATCCCGCCTCGACGTGGCCTGTCAGCAGGGGGAGCACGGTGATGGAGGGGCGGTGGATGGGATAGAAATAGGCGCCAGTCCCGGGGCCGAGAGGGACAACTTGGCAAAGCAAAGCGCCGGCTTTCAGATTCATTCTTCTGCCTCTGCCGCAGCTCTCTCCTCCCTCATTATCTGTCCCTCTGTCACCCTCCTTCCTCTCTTCTTCTCTCCCTCTAACCCGGCTGTGTGCCCATCAACTTGGGTTTGGATCGACAGCCCCCCCCCCCCCCTCCCTCGTATGAATTCATTGGGTTGAGGGGCTTCAGCGTCTGATTCCGTCACAGATGATCACGCCTCTATTTGAAACATGGCGTTATTACAGAACACATTTGACTGCTGTCCCAGTTTCATCAAAGAAGAATACAACTACTTGTGTCTACAAGCTGACAGGCCAAATACCGGTGCACGAATTCCCACAAGGCAATGGCGGATTTTTCAAAATAAATGTTGTGCGTCCGGTTGCAACTGTGATAAATAAGCCCGGTGCCATTCATGAAATCATAATAAAGTAATCCAATTACAGTGTAATGTGTCACGCTCTGGTAACTTCGCAGTGGAACAATAAAATACTCTTATCTGAGGTCAAATTAAAGTTTAAGGCAAAGTTGGAGGCGGTGAGCGTGTTCCGCATACGGGACAGGCCGCAGACCAGCTCCTAAATATAAAGAAGCGCAGGAATATAGGGAGCAAATGTACGCTGGGAGTCTAAACCATCGCTGGCCCAATGAGAGGACATCGTCCAGTGGCAGCATCGCTGGGGCGGTGCGATGATGTAACGACAAAAAAAAAAAATGCAACCGCCGCCACAACACAAGTGGAGCAGAATGCTCCGAGGCAAAGTATCCAAACATCAAAGTCCTTTTCTTTCAATTAACGCAGGATCCTCCAACGTGCACAACAAGACAGAAAGGGAAAAACAGAAACGAAAGGAAGCGAGAGAGAGGGAGATATTAAACTGGAGTGATAGAGGAGAACCAGCTCGCTCTCCAGCTGTTGTTAACAAGAGGCTTTGTAGAATCCGTGTGTGTCAGTGACACAAGCCTTCTGGGAAACGGGCCTTTTGGTCCGAGGCTAATATTCCGCAGACCAGGCGATTGCAGTGGGCTGCAACAAACGGGGAGACACGCTTGTCTCATAACCCTCTGAAGGCTGAAGGCCTGCTAATGAGACCAGTAGGGATACTTAGCAGAAGTGTTCTCTCTACCGAAAGCCCTTTATTTGTGTCGTTTCTTTTGGCTTTGCCTGTTGTGTAATACAACAGAGTCCCCCCCTTTCTGCTGGAATAAACATGAAAATAAATAACCAACAGAAAAGGCCGCGGTGGACTGCGAGGTATTTGCTTTCAAAGTGTTTGCTGTGGATAAGATGACGTATTTGAACTTTGAAACAACTCCAGTGACCTTCAAGCTATGAGCGACCGCGTGAACGTTCAAGGGATCTCGTAACGGCGGGGTGCCGCGATGAATGGGAGCAGACAGCCAGAAGATGCTTTCTTTCATTTACAATTCTGGTGTGGGGGGGGGGGGGGGGCTTATTTAAAAGTTGCTGAGAGAAAGCAGGAAAAGGAAGCAGGGAAGGGCAGGGAAGGACACGGGTATGCTGCCATAGTCAACTTCACACAGCTTTGACAAACCCCTCTTTTTCCCCCCTTATGGCTTAATATGAGAGAAAGCCATCTTAAACAAACACAAATCCAACAGTAATTCTGTTTCTTTCTGGCCACATGAGTGGATTAGGATCAAGGAACCTCTCAGTAGGTTTGAAAGGGAAAAATGAACCGTCATGACTACGAGCTGGCAGTGGATTTCGTTTATAAGACTGTCGGATATCCCCATGGGCCCATGTGTGCTTTTAGCTTCCCAATTATTTAGGTCAGGGGCAGACTGCCCCAGGAGAAAGGGCGAAAGACAATGGAAAACACAGTAATATATGTAAAATGAGGCAAAGCCATATCTGTGTCCATTTCCCAACCGCCTTTGTCAGACAATTTCATATCATATTACAGGCCGAGAATACTGTGCTATCTGAATGTTAAGAGATGGGAATTATATAGTGCGGATTAGCCAGCGGTCTGGAGCCAGATGAAGGGGGGTTAGCAAGAAGGCAGATATGGTTGAATAGGCTTAAAGGACGTCTGTGTTTCATTTCAAATCGGCCTACGCTGGATTCTTGTTGGAACAGTGCAAATCTGTGTCAATGATTCATACTGACAAAAGAAAATACTACCTGTGCACGCGGCTTGGCAGTTCTTCAATAAAATCAATACCTTTGCCTAAGAGAGGAATCGCTTGTCCACCTGTTTGTTGAGACAACAAGGAGACACTAACTTCACCGCTGACGTACTCAGTCAGGACAGAGGAACTACGTTTCCTGAAAACAAATAAAATAATTACTTCTAGGTGCTGCAATGCGACGTGTAGCGACGGCCCTTTGAATATTGTCCCATGTCACACATCCATATTTCGTGTGATGTACAGTGTTTATAGTGCAGTGTACAGGGTTATGTACAACGTCCATAGAAAAGTAAAGACACGGAGTGAACAGCTCTGTGGTTAATGAACTAAATCTGCCACGGCAAAGTCAACTGGTGAATGTGTTTCTATTAATCTGGGACTGACATCAGACGCGCGCAGCCTGTAGCCAAGAAAAAGCTCCTAGATCACCAGATACGAGTCGCATGAATACGCTCACAAGCAGCTGCTCAGCATGTTTGGGTCTGATTTGGATGCTCGGCGTGCTTCTCCCACAGATCGCAGACCTGAGCAGACAATACCCGTATCTGTGTGCATGAGGCCGCACCTCCGTACTCCTGATCATATCTGAAATGTGAGTGAAGTGAACAAAACGCAAGAAGAATAAACTGGTCTACTATTCAAACAAATTGGGGAAAACGGTGAATGTTGGAGGACGCCTTCAAGGTTTAGGACCCCGCCAGCCCGTTTCACATCTTAACACGTAGGCTTTGACGGACAGCAGGGTAGCCCCCCCCGTCCCCCGATCCAAAAAATCCAGGTTTAATGTCTTGTGTCAATGAGCATCCCCGCTAAAAGCCGGGGAAATAACCGACCATGACCTTAGACACCTCTGTGAGAAGGTGTTTCTATCCTTCGTTACTCTCAGTCCGCATTTAAAAATGTAGAATATCGCCACCGTTTGCACAACAACTATGCGGCTCCCACAACACAAGCTTTTTCACACAAAGAAATACATATATAAGCAATTCCTTGTAGACTTTTTGATGAAGCCACCGTGTGCGTCAGCGAGGGCCAATAGCTGATATTCACTCTTCATTTAGCCAACATGCCCAGAAAACCCCCACAAGGCAGAGAGAGCAACAAGGAGAAAATAAGAGAGAAAAAGACACAGAGGCAGCGCGCGGCTACATGTTGTGATGATACAATTATCCAGATGACAAATGCAATAACAGGGAACGTGGAACCGTCCGACTCATTGCTACAATGAACCGTGATCAACAAAACACCAACAGCTTTTTAGCAAAGGTCTGCGCTTCATTTCTATTAATTTGGTCCCCAGGGGAGTGGACATGAAATCGTGACTTCACACTTTCAGTGGAGGGCTCTTGTACACACTGTTTATTGAGTACTAATGAGAGGTGTGATGAAGAGGGTTTTCATTTCATTGGAGTGTGACATTAATGTAGAGTAGCCATATGATTACTTGAAAAGTGAAAAGAATAAGGTCATTTTCAAGTAGCAGAGCTCTCATAA